CTGCTGGCCAATGGTCAAATCCACCCGTAATGTGGTTAGATCATGTGGTTTTGCCTATGAAATGTAATAGTTTTATGGATAAGTAGCACCAAATGGCGGAATTGCAATAACAAAGTAATGTATAAGGATTTCAACAAAGAAAAAAAAAAACAAAATGATGGATATCACAGTACAAGAAAAAGGGATTTATATGACACATTTAAATGTCTTAATAACTATTCTATAACCACACTTAACCTATCATCACATTGATTCAAAATGTGGTCTATTCTAATGTGTTAATAGAGGTAATGATCTATAAAGACATTTATATTTGTCAAGATAAGTAATTTCCTTTTTTTATTATTATTTTTTAATTAAACAGGGAGAATAAGGAGGTATTCGGGTTTCAACTGACATAAAAAAACTCAAGGGGTCTACCCAGAAGGTAAATTTTTATGCCAGACAGTGTTAGATGACATAATGCACCCAAGGGGTCTACCCAAGGGATGGACATACATGCCATCTAGTTCCTTAGCCTCTCCTTTCCTCAATTTTATTACCATCTTGAATAAAGATCTCAAGGGCAGAGGATGGTCTGACCCCTTAATTTTACAAAGGCTCTCTAATATATAAGCTATTCTCAACTACGCAAATATGGATAAGACCTTTGGTATAAAACCACAAGACCTTTTACATAGCGAGGCAACAAGCTAAAAGATTCGTAAGTAGTGGAGATACCACTTGAAGCAACCTTGGCTAGGCTATCAGCAACCAAATTTGCTTCTCTATAAATATGAGTAATAGAGTACCCATTGCGATCAATAATAGAACATATTTCTATCAAATCCTGAAAAAATCTCCATGGAAAACCGCTTTCTCTAACAATAGCATCCGAAAGTAACTTACTATCTGTTTGGATAACCACATTTGGGAGCTGTAAATAATCACACTTTTGCAATCCAAAGAGAATGCCGCATAATTCAGTATATAAACTATCTCCTTCCCCCAAAAAGCCACATTCACCATAAAGGAAATAACCTCCTTCGCCGCGGATGACAAACCCATAACCCGCATCTCCAATAGAAGAGCCATCAGTATTCAAAATAAATGAATTCGGATCTGGCGGGATCCATCTCACCATTTTACAACTCCTTAAAATGGATCTAGGCAGCTTAACCCAAAATACACTCGCAATAAAATCCTTCTCAACCTCACTACTTACTTTAAGATCATGCACCAATAGAATATCGCGAACACTAGATGAGATTGAATGCATTACAGAATTAGAAGATGGTATAGCACCTTCATAGATCATCTTGTTTCTTGCTTTCCAAACTTCCCAAAGACTGAAGGAGGGAAGCAACATGATGGAAGATTTTTTGGCTGAAGTGAAGCTGCCCTTCAACCACCATTTTCATAACAAATGCAGCAAGCTAGTATGACCATCGATATTGATACTCATGAGTGCCGCGAAATGAGCCCAAATGCCTTGAATAAATTCGCAGCTATAGAAGCAATGGAGTAAATCATCCGAGTGTTTCCGACAGAATGAACACATTGAAGGTCTTACAGCAAATCCAATGCGTGCAACAACATCAGGAAAAGGCAACAAGCCATTTCGCAACTTCCACAAAAAGAATGAAATTCGAGAAGGGACCAATTTATTCCATATGTTTCGCAACAAGGGATCAGCATCATCAATTCGGTTAGGAAGAACATCATAGGCCGATTTGACTGAGAATTGGCCCTGCGGATTATGCTGCCAAACAAAGAGGTCAATATCATTAGAAAAATCATAATCAAAGGATAGAAGAAAGTCTCTTATTTTGAAGGAGAGAACATCTCGTATTGCAGCAAGGTGATATTCTTTGTTAGCAAAGAACTCTCGGATTGACAAGTGTGGAGAAGGCAACTGAACTTCACATAACTTGCTTAGGACCCCATAAGCTGACCAATTATCAACCAAAAAGATCTATCACCTCCTCGCAAGATGATCTTTGTATGCTCAATCAAGCTATCTTCCAATTTCATTACCCTGGACCATGACGTTTTCCTTTTAGCCGAGTTAGAGAGTGACAAAGTGAAATGACTCCATATTCCTTTCTTTTGTTTCACTTTCCACCAAAGCTTAGTAGTCAATGCATCAATATTATCATGAAAACTTCGAAACCCTAGCCCATTCTCAGAGGTAGGAAAGGTAAGCCTACTCCATGCTCTCCAATGCCTTTTCTTCTCTTCAGTGGAGCCACTCCAAAGAAACTTCTGACAACGTTTCTCCATCTCTTGAATTATTGAGATAGGGGGAGGAATGGCTGAAAATACATGAATTGGAATGGAAGACAAAACATGCTTGATAAGCATCAATTTGCCACCCGGAGACAACATTTTATTTTTCCAATTCAGCAACTTCGAGTCTAGGGCATCCAACAAGAACTGAAATATTGAAGAAGTTTTCCTCCCCTTGAAAAGCCGACAACCTAAGTAGGCGAAAGGAAAAGCTCCCTTATCCATTCCCAAAGTTCTCTTAATCATTTCAACTCTTCTCGGATTACATTTCTCAGAAACTACAAAAAAGCTTTTATGACGACTAACTTTTTGGCCAGAAGCAGCTTCATATTGATCAAAGAATTCATTGATTTTCTTTAAAGAACGCCTCAGTCCCCTTGTGAAAATGATCAAGTCATCCGTAAAGCACAAGTGTGAGACAACAAAACTACCCGCAGGTATACCATATGGTGCATTCTTCCCTCTAAGAGCCAAGGCTTTTAGTCTTCTAGTTAGAGCTTCGGATACAAGAATGAACAAGTAAGGTGAAAGTGGATCACCTTGCTTAATACTGCACGATGCTTGAAAGTACCCCACTGGACTTCCATTAACCAAAACTGAGAACCAGCTATCCTCTGAGATTATTCAAAATCAATTTTACAAAGGGCTGAGGGAAACAGAATTTGAGTAAGACCAACTGAAGGAAACACCAAGAAACCCTATCAAAGGCTTTCATCATATCAACTTTAATAACCATATTACTTTCCACCGCTTTGTGATCAATAAATTGGCACAAATCTTGAGCAAGTAAAACATTATCAATGATGTCTCGACCTTCCAAGAACGCTGATTGCTCTTCCGATATCAATCTTGGCAAGACAACTTTGAGACTGTCAGTAATCACCTTAGTAAAGATCTTGTTCAGAAAATTACAAAGGCTAATGGGACGAAAGTCCGCAAAAGAACAAACCGTTGTCTTCTTGGAATAAGGGAAATCAGAGTGCTAGTAATAGCTCTCGGAAGCAGAACGCTGAGCATAAATTCTTGGCATGCTTTCCAAAGATCACTTGCTATGATACTCCAACAGCTCCTGTAAAATACTCCACCAAAACCGTCCACCCTCGGCACACTTTCCGCCTTTAAATTAAACACCGCCTCCCGCACTTCTTCTAAGGAAATAGGCCGCATCAATTTTTCATGATCTAATTCATCAAGAACTGTGGGAATATGCTGCAAGAATAAATCATGAAAATGATCATTTTGACTTGCATCCTCGGTTAGGAGTTCCTTAAAAAAATCTCCCGCCTCAGCCTCAATGAAAGACGGTTCAGTAAGCATTACACCATCTCTAGACTGAATTTTGTATAATCCTTGCCTCGATCTCCTTTCTTTTACAGGATCATGGAAGTAAGAAGAATTACCATCGCCATCTTTCAGCCATTTCAACCTTGCTTTTTGCTTCCAAAAATCTTCATGTTCTCTGAGTTTTTGAAGTAGTGAAGCTTTAGCTAGCTGCAGGTTCATTCTATCGTGGACAGAACCAGAACGATCATATAAGCCTTCAAGATGTTGAACCTTGGATTCTGCCTCTTTCAAGTTGTCAAATACATTACCAAATGTGTGCTTGTCCCACTCCTTCAAGTGCTGCTTCAATCTACGCAATTTGACCAAAAAACCAAGCATTCCAAAGGCATCAACAGGTTGCTCCCAGTTTTCACTAACCACACTAAGGAAATCGTGCCTTCTAAGCCACATATTTTGGAACTGAAACAATCTAGGTTTGCTTTCACCTTGCACAGCAAACAGATACAACATAGGGCTATGATCCGAAGTAGTTCGATTTAGGTTTTCAATAGAGGAAACTGGAAACAAATCTTGCCACTCTTCTGAGAATAAAAGCCTGTCAAGTTTTTTACTCACCCACCCCGTTTGGCGAGAGCCACCACATGTGAACTCCTCACCCACAGCCGGAATCTCAAGAAAACCACAGGCATCAATACATTCATTAAAATCACTAATTGCTCCATGATCTTGCACTGAGTTACCAGAGTATTCGTCTAATGAATGAATCACATTAAAATCCCCTCCAATCATCCATGGCACAGCCGGATTGTTCAACCGAAAATTTTCCATGTTTCGCCACAAAGCCAACCTAGCTGTCTTGGTGGATTTTGCATACACAGCCGACAGATAGAAGCGACTAGGAGCCAACAAATGCGATAGTTCAAAATGCATGACCTGACCATGATCTTCTAACAAGGAAACAGTAAACTCTTTTTGACAGAAGAACCAGATTTTATTGGATTGAGAAGCAAAAGCAACTTCAAAATTTAACTCCCTTCTTATTTCTTCCAGACTATTAACCTGAACCATTGGCTCTAACACAATTAACAAAGTAACATTATGCCTTCTGAGTAAGGATCTCAAACACCTTTGAGACGCTTGAATTTTTATACCTCGAATATTCCAGATCATTTGTCTAATCATTGGAAAAAATGATTAAAAGAGAATCAGTTTAGACGAGAAGATTGCCGCGGAACAATGTCAAGCAGCAACTTAGCCTTTTCACTTTTTGATTTACGACCTCTTTTCTTAGGAACCGAAACATTCCCAGCCGTAAGTTCAGGAGATTCAAGATCAAACCTGTCTCCCTCAGACCATCGTTCATCATCACTGTTGACATACTCATCCTCACTGTCCTCAGTCAGACTTCGAGAGCCAACATTGCAGTCATCAGAATGCTTATTTATCAACTATTTGGCCTGCGGAATTAATGCTAAGGCTAGGGTTTCATGCTTTTCGGGAGCTGAATTATTCTCAAGCGACGGCGCCTCAACCAGAATTTGTTCTACATTCTCCTCACTAGAGTCAGATCCATTTGTCACTTCGTCAATGTCCGCAAGAATAGAGAATTGATTCCCTTTAGGAGAAACCTCAACATGCGGAGCTTCAGTTGACTGAATCGCAACCTGTTTAGAGTCTCGATTTTCCTCTTCCTCGGTTACGCCTTTTGGAGGCATAGAGTCGGGAATATCCATTGGGATCACTGTCTTCTCTTTCGCTGAAAGACCCGAAGTTGATTCCCCAGGGATCGACACTGGTCTTGAATAAAAAACCACCGCATCATTCAGGTTTCCGCAGGGGGGCGCGCCTAGGGTTTCCGCAAGGGGGGATCCTTTTCATTGATTGAACCCGCTTCTACTGCCTTAATGATTAACGGATTAGCGTTTATGATTTCAACCTCAACCTCTGACTTCTCATGAGGTTTCTTCGATCCCAATTTCACTTTTTGCTTGGCCATTTTGATTCCATTCTTCTTTTCATTCGGAGCAGTTACCTTATCCACAACAATTTTTTGTGGAGTTGGCTTTCCAATGCGACAGTCTCTTTCCTTACGCCCAATTTTGCTGCACTTTGGACAATACGCAGGGACATGTTCATAAGTGAAAATTTGCTCATGCTTACGTCCTCCCTTCCCGATCTTCACTAATTTTGGTAACTCTTTCATTAGATCCACTTCAACACAAAACCTTGCCACCGATGGTCTTGTCATGTTCAAAGTGGGCGTATCTACCTTCAAGGGTTGTCCTATAGTTGTAGCCATTGAGAAGATGACCTCCGGGTGCATGTATTCAATTGGCAAGTCGCAGAGAGAAACCCAAATAGGGACTACTGGCGGATCTTCTTCAAAATGGAAACCCGGAGTCCATTTTAAAATCCGCATTGAGTAGCCCGCAATGTTCCAAAAAGTCCGAATCCAACATCTCTGATAGTCCTCTTCCTCCTCAAAGCGGATCAAGACGTGCCTTGAATTCATAAGACCTAGATTATAGCCATCATTGAATCCAATCTTCTTGAATTCGTTATGGACTTCCTCCATCTTAGGACGGCCATACGAAAATTTACCTACTAAACTCAATCTGTGGGGCGCAACAAGTTTTTCAAATTCATCATCTTCATATTCCAAAGTTGGTGTTCCATTGATGAACTTTACTGGCTTGATGAGAGAATCTTTATTCGCAACCGATGCAGAAGCTCTATGGAAGAAGCTTGCAAAAGATTTAGGTGGTTTATGGGGGACCACCGCTGGCTAATCGCCGACCATGGCGGCCAACAGGAAGACGTGGAGTCGCACCTGCTAGGGTTTGCTAGGGAGAACGGCTAAAAAAAAGTATATTACTTCTGTAGCTTACTGTGTAGATTACTTCCCTTTTTTATTATTTAATATCTATGAAGACATTTAAAAGTGTGGTAACAATAAATTAATCTTTTACTAATTGCTATGATATCAAAACATTTAAAAATGTTGTGATAATTGTAACCTTTTACTAATTACCATGATATCAAGACATTTTTAAGTTAAGGACAATTAAAAATATAAAGACATTTATTAGTGTCATAATAAGGTTCTATAAACATATTTTAAGGGCCATAATATTAAATAAATTATTTCATTTTAGGTATTTGGAAGATTTAAAATATTATTAAAGCCTGCCCATGCTTAGTTAAGCAAACATAAAAGAAAAATGGTTCACAACAAATAAAAATCAATAATAAATAATATCTTTCTTAGATTCGAAAAAACACAAATTGTGTATTTACAATGAAAAAATAGACTAAAACTTAGTATAAATCCAAACTACTATACATATGTTTGTGAATGTTGCACTAAAGCTATGCATCAACGAACAAGCTTAGACAATTGTAATACATGGTGGTGACGAGTGCCAAAAGCGAGTACTTCAACTCTATTGTTGAACCGGTGCTAACTACAAATACAATGCATTTTAACAAACAATGAATTAAAAAGAAGAAAATATTGAGAGAATAGAGTGTTTGGTCGAGGAGAACAGTAACCTCTAAGTTGGCCCCTAATTTTTAAAAACATCCAAAAAAAATAATGGTAAAGAGTTCTTATTCGAAACACGTTTATGATCTAACCCAAAGTCCCATTTGTCTTCCGTCAAACTATTTAAAGTAGGATAAACTAGGAAGAGTTTTATCCAAATAAATCACAAAAACAGTTCATCAATAAGGAGAACACAACTCACCAAAACAACACTAAAAATGAAATTTCAGAAAATCTAGAATTCAATGGCAGGTTGGTCCGGTTGAAATCAAATTTCAAAAAATGTAGAATTCAATGGTAGGTTGCTAGATCTAAAGTATAAATTTTTCCCTTTGCAACAGGTTTGATTGGATCGACATAAGTTTTGAGATACACATATTGACCGATCTGAAAAATAATATTGATGTAAATATACAACAAATAAGTAGTAGTAACTAAGCTAGGTAAATCAAAAAAAAAAAAGAAAAAAAAACCAGCACCTAAATTAGATCATAGAATTGTTCAAACATTTACAATATATTATTGTTCATATTTCTTCTACCTATAACAGTACAAGTAAACAGATGATGTCGCTTCAAGCAATGGAAAACAAGTTAAGTCATGTGGAAACAAATTAGATTGGGAGAGGCAAGCGACTCAAACCACCATACCAAGAAAATAAAAATAAAACACATATTGATAAACTATTAAAAAAAATTATGATATTACTTGTTTGCTGCAGAATTGGCTCATCTCGAAGGCCAAATGTACTTTGTTTACGTTTTCTAGACGTTCCTTCCATACCTATATAATTGGTGAAACAGTCAATGACATTATGCAAAAACAAATTACCCTTGAACAGTCAGGGGATCAATCACCACACCGGAAAAATGATATTAAAAGAAGATTAACAAAAGTACATGAACATGCGCAAGAAACCAAATAAAATTATGCTTAAGCTAAAACAATCAACATCAAATCAAATACAAAATTAACAACCAGACTAGCACATGAATAAGAGAAATCGGCCAAGATGAGCAGTTAAGAAGAGAAATAAATTTCTATAGTAAAATGTTACTTTTTCTTAAGAGATTGAAAGGTTCAGAATTTCATTCCCATGAGCAAATTGGCTATTCACGATTCTGTATAAGTTCTTGAAGTTGTGAGTGGGAGAGGTTACTATTAAAGTGAGGACTCTTAATTAAAAAAAATTCCCACCGCGCCAAAAAACATCGGGAAAAATAATTATTGTGAAATAAAATAACCAAAGGGAAAACAGTACCCCATTACCCATACGTGTGTGATTCTTATCAAAAAACAATTTACCCAAACGAAAGATTATTTTATTGTGGTATGGTGAAATTTAGACAAAAAGAAAAATTAAAAATAAAAAATACTTCCACCCAAATTACCCCAAGACTCTCCTATATTTTAGGCTTGACTGAGAATACTAAATGTGTTAATGGCAAATTGTAGGCAGTATAAGAATAGTTAAATTAAAAAAAAAAAAAGTGAATATGACAAAATCGAATACAATTAAGAAGTTTCAAATGCTACATACGAATACTTAAGTTTCAGAGTTGTTTATATCTAAAAGAACGCCTAGTTAGGACCGAAACACAAAAGGTGGTAGAATAAAAAATAAAACTACCATAACTACTATCCTACTCCAAACTGGGGCATCCCTCAGGCTGTGAAGACCCAAAAAACTAATCAGCACTCACATAAGTAGAAGAAACGGAATCTTCACAATTCTTCGAACCGTCTTCTTCTCACGGCCAACTTCTATCTGTAACATTCTCACTAAACTAAGTACTAGTCCGAATATCAACCCTCCAATTGAACTCACATACAAAGAATGTGACATAAGCTTGTACTAAACCACGTCAACAAGGTCTCTAGGAGCCAAAACGCAAGCTACAATCGGCAAATAATATAGTCTCCTATAACGGTCCCGAGTTGGTCCTGTAGGAGATGCATCCATCTCATTCTCACGAATCTCATTTCCATCCAGTCTAACGTAAAACGGCAAACTTCATAATTTATTGTACTTTTACCTTTTAATATTTAACTTACTCTAACTTCATAATTTCTTAACTAATGTATAGCCTACCATTATAAAAAAGAAATGCCTTATTAGTGTATCTATGAAGACATTTAAAGCTAATGTCTTCATATCTCCCCTTTATTAAGACATTTTTAAGAAAAATGTCATGATTTATATGTCATGAAAGCTTCCTTTTCTTGTAGTGGTAATACAAAAAATGGATAAATAGTATCAAATGGAGATATATGTAGTATCAAAGCAATGGATAAAGATTTTAATTTAGAAAAATAAAACAAAAGAATGGATATCCAGTCTAAAACGAATGGATAAACAACACAAAAAGGATGGACACTCAAGACCAAGACGACTGATGATGTTCATTAATTAAAATTTTATCTAATTTTTTTAGATGGATAGATTTACTATTTAAAAGAGATAGACACGATACTGATTTCGGATGGATATGCGGTAATAAAACAATGGATATTGTATTGTTATGGATTTTATATGAATTATACATTCAGTCGTAGTAACCATGGGAAAATGGATACATATATAACACAAAACGATGGATAAGTGGTACAAATATAAAAAATATGTAATTTTAAAATGATGGATATGAATTTTCTCGAATGCTCAAAACAACGGATAATTAATTTTTTTCTAATAAAAATATTATAAAAGACTGAATATTTAGCACAATAAAAGATGGATAAGTAGCACCAAATGGATGGATGCACATTGCCAAAACAATGAATAAGCATTTTCAATAGAAAAAAAACAAGTAAAAGAGTATGAATATTTAACACAAAACAGTAGATATATAGCACTAAATAGACGAATATGCATTACCAAAGTAATGGATGAGGATTTTTAACCAAATAATAATAATAATAAACAACAAAACAAAAGGATGAATATCCAGTTTAAAACAAATAGATAAGTAGTAGTAAACTCATGGATAAAAAGCAGAAATGTGATGGATATATAGTAATAAAATTGTACATAATGTAAACTGAATTTTAATTAATGCTCATAATGTTGAATTAGTTTTTGTCCACTATTATTACAATTTTAGCTAAACACACAAGAGTTCACAACAACACAACTTCCGTCGTCTTTATATTGAATATCCATCTAAAATTAGTACCGTATCTATCAATTTCAAATTGCATATCCATCCAAAGTAGCATATAATCCCTTCATTTCTGCCCATAAAATTTAAATACCTTCAAAATATGAAAAAAAATATTCGATATGGATCTTGCTAGTTAGAGCAAGTCGAGTAAAATAAATTTCATATATAATACTCCCTCTGTCCCACAAAAATAGTCTATATGAGTTTTGAGTTTTGTACTGTTTTTAGTACAAATTTAAAAACTCAATATGAACCATTATTTTGGTACAGAGGTAGTATGTTTTTAAAGCTTTCACGGATTAAGAAATGGGTCCGTTTGAATGTTTTGGATATATTTTAAAGAGACATAAAAAAGTGATATGGATTGAAAATGCAAAAAATTATAACATTATTTAGAAAAGAGAAAAGTATAATAAGGACCTCAAGTGTAAAAAAAATAGGAATGGGTCGATGGTGAATCTGAGACTACACAAATTGATCTCGTTACTACTACTACTACTACTAGTCTACTATCACGTATGAATATTTGAATTACCAACATTGGTTAAACTTTAATCTTTCTTAATTTTTGGGCATGAAACCATCGTGACGGTTTAGGGTTTTCTTGGTTTTAAAGAAATTATTACAACAATCATTCACGAGAGTGGTGCTTATGCCAGTCAGAGTTGTGAAGTAAACTAGTTCCTCACATTCAAAATAGTAATAAGGATGAGTGGGGTACTGGTTACACATTGTTGGAATCAGTGAAAAACAGAGAATCTTTGTCAAAATATCTTCAAAACCAAGGAATTCGTCATAGCAGACATTGTAAAGAAACTTGAGAAGAGAGATGGAGAATAAATGGATGCAAAGTGAAAAGATAGAATG